ACAAGAGGACTAGCTGTCCCGCAAACTGCAGTTCGATCGGGCGAGCTGCAGTCTACAGGAGAGTCAGACAGGGAGAGAATAATGGAGAGAATCAGGGACAGTTTCAAGGCTCCCCCTTCTGCTCGATCACCCGCCTGCTTTTTCCCCTGTCTGAGACACACTCACTTGCACTCACACACACACATTCACATTTCAGTACCAAGGCTGCCAACGCTTTTTTTTTTTCTGGAAGAGAAAAAAAAAAAAGAGGAAATCAATTTCCTACTGATTATGATGAGGAGGCGAAGGGGAGAGGGAGGAAAAAGAAAAGGAGAAGAAAAGAAAGAGATGAGAAAACTGAAGGTGGAAGAGGAGAAAACCAGGGAGCAGCTGATGTGAAGGAGGATGACAAAGGATATGAGGGAGGAGTAAGGGATGGAGGAGAAAAAGAGGAGTACAGAGTAGTCGGAGACAAACAAGAAAAGTAAAGGATGAAGTAGAAGAAAAAAAAACACAGAGGTGCAGAGAGAGGTTAATGAAAGGAGGAAGAGGAACGAGAAGGAAAAGCAGGACGATGGTGAAGACCAGTAGGATAAAAAACAGAAAGAAGGAAACATGTGGAGGGGAAGAAATGGGGAATGAGGAGGAGGAGGAGCAGGAGGGAAAGAATAAGAACATAGAATGTTAAATAATATAGGAGGACAAAAGGAGAAGGAGGAGGAAATAGAAGAGAACACAAGGAGCAAACACACGGTTTCATTTGGTCATTTTTTTATTCGACAATAAATATATATTATCGACAAGATGCAAAATACAAAAAATGTACAAAAGTTGGAAACAGGAAGTTGGCAAGCAGCGAGGACTTATTGATATTTTTACATATTTACAGACCGATAAATTAAAAGTCGCTCTTATGTTTTTTTTTTGTTAAATTAAAGAGTCATATTTACAGCAATATACATAATGTAGTAACCTGCTTTTAAAGGTGATTTACAGATTTTCCTCCTCTCTTTATTTACGTCGACACTTGTCCTGACAGTAATTCGACCCGTCCGTTCTTCGGGATGACGTTCCCCTCTTTCTTCTTCTCCCTGTGGACCGTGACACTACCCACTGTTAGGCCCAGGTCCTTGATGTTGACCCTCACACTGGCAAGGTTCCGGTGCCATGCGCTGTCCTTATTGTTCATCTTAACTCTGAGACTGTCGCTGGAGCTAACCTGCGTTACGTCAGCAGATCTTTGTGGCCCCTCCCATTCCCTGACGTTCACACCATTCTTACTTTGTGCGGTTAGCGGATGCTCAGCGCTAGCATCACATGATACTCTGGAACCCAAGCCAAAGATTGTGATTTCATCATCCTCATTTTGTTGTTTACCATGGGACTCATGATGTGGGTTTAAAGGGACGGCGTCTCCAGTGTAATCTTCATGTAGCTGCTGAGGTTCTGACAGAGACAGGTTGGCTTTGGTGTTAGCTCTTACAACAGTTGGATTTTTGAGTCTCTGGGTTAGTTTTGCCCTAGTTTTGTCTCCAGCCACTGCATCACACTGGATGGAGGGAGATGTGATCGTCTTAGAATCTGAGTGAGAAGTCATAACTTTAGCATCTCCAGTGCTCGTACAGTGAAGTCCGTCCTGTCCTGATGTGTTAATATCTGTACAGTCAGAATTAGCACAGTGTGTCGTTCCCCTGTGTTTACCACTGTGTCCTAGTTGTTGCTGCAGATCAGCACCCATCCTTGATCTGTAGGAAATCCCACAGTTAGTGATACCAGCAACTTTGCTCTGTGAACATGGTTGTCTCTGTCCAAAAGCCTCAGAGTTAGAGCAGTTACCTGTCACTGATTTGATGTTTTTGTTCATCCTAAAACCAGAACCTGCAGATAATGCAGCTCTTCTTTGTAGGTTCCAGGTGTGAGTCTGAGTGTTAGAAACTCCTGTGCCTGTACCTGGTAATCCTTGAGGTTTCAACATTCTAGTATTTGTCTTGAAGTCAGATCTAACATGATAAGTCACCCTGACAGGACTGTCTCTAGTTGGTTGAGGTTCCACAGTGTTTTTAACCCTCGCAGAGTCAAGATCAGAACCATAAACCACTGCAGTCCCTTTGACTCCTGATCCACGCTCTTCTCTTTGGCTGTTGTCCATTTTAATTTCAGACAGAGCAGCGTTAGCTGTTTTAACAAGATGGTCGTTAAGCTTCTTTGGTTCCCCAGGGTGAGAGTTCTTCTTAGAGTCTGGATTACCAACTCCACCACCGGGTTCTCCTGGTGGTTTCCATATTCTTGTCTCCACCGTAGAGTTGTAAGGAACACAACCAGACTCTTGTCGTTCCTTGGTGTTTTTAACTGTCTTGTAATTAGTAACTCCTGTGCTTTTACTTTGTAATCCATGTTCCCACGTGTTAGCATCCGTCCTAGAGTCAGAATGAGCATAGTGATTCGTTCTGCAACTATTGCCACGTTGCTGCAGTTGTTCCCTGGTGAAGTTTGCAGTGTATTTGGCTTGTAATACCCCAGGTTTCCACATGCTCGCATTTGTTGTCAAATTTGGTTTCGCAGTAAAAAGATCCATGCAGTTTCTACTTCCATGCAGTTGATTTTTCCACATCGCTGTTTCTGATTTAGTTTCCATCAGATTGTTCTGATGTCCTTGTTGTTTTCTGTTCACTACTGGAGAACTGGAGTTCTGTGCCTCTCGTCCTTGTGGAAGATTATTGGCTGACCTCACTGAGAATCTCGGTGATGACGGAGGTGGCGAAGTGCTCAGCGAGCGACTTTCAATAAATTCCAGGGAGGAGCCCAGCATTCCAGCCAGTTCCGGTGTGAACTCCACCAGCTCTACAGGGTCTTTGACATCTGCTCGGAAGGAAACCAGTTCCTGCTCATCTGGACCTGTTAGCAGCTGGGACATAGATGCCTGACGGTAGAACTCGTCCTCAGGGATGCACTGTACATTCAGCTGAGGGAAGAGGCGCCGGAAAGACCGTGATGTCATTCGAAGGCGACCTAGGACATCTGAGAGGAGGAGCCAGTTCCTAGGACTGAAGAAACAAATGGAAAGAGTTTGTCTTGAAGAACCTCAGTCCTGCCTTCCCTCTCTCTGTCTCTGTCTGTCTGTCTCTCTCTGTCTCTGTCTGTCTGTCTCTCTCTCTGTCTGTCTTTCCCACTTGTATTTGTGTCTGTCTACATCATGAGTGCATGTGTTCTGTAGGATCTGTTTCCTAAAAGTGAAGTCCTTTCTGCCGTGGGTTCTGTAGCACTGACTCTTGATGCTCTGGTTCCATCAGAACTGCAGCTTCAGGTTCTGGTTCGTGTTTGGTTGGTTCTTTAACCCAGTGGTCTTTCTATCATCACTCCTTGATGTTCTTTAAGCCAATGTTGTGTGTCTGTTTTTGGACGTGTGTTCTTGACTCACCCCTGTGACAGCAGCACTTGGATGTTGTAGCAGGGCAGCAGCGGTCGATCCGACAGCTCAAACTCAAACACCTCCCTTCGTGCTCGATGCTCCTTGTCCTCAAACTCATCTTCATCCTCTCCTTCCTGCTCTGGACCTGGTGGATCGTGCAGGAGGTTGAAAACTCCTCCATGACTTGGAGGTTCTGCAGAGAGAACAGGACCCAAACAGAACTCAGTGGAGTTCAGTCTCATTTGTCCTCATTAGTGTAGAAACCTTATCACATCTGCTCAGTCTGATCTGGTCTAGTTTTTACCACCAGGTCTGTGTCTGTGTGTGTGTGTGGACTCACCACACACAGTGCTGCCGTAAAACTCCCAGAAGACACCAGGGTCTTCCTCTGTCCTTCCCTGGAGGTCAGAGAGATAATCTGAGAGAGAGAGAGAGAGAGAGAGAGCTTCATTAAAGTGTTGAATGACAAACACAATAGAGGGCAGACAATACACACACACACACACACTAAGACAGGAGCACAGAGACAGGTGTTTGTGTTCTGACGGAGGAGTCGAGCCGCTGCAGTGCTGGGCTCTGTGTGTGTGTGTGTGTGTGTGTGTGTGTGTGTTGTGGGATTCACAGCCAGGCCTCATTAAACTCCTCCTAAGAGAGAGAGAATAAATACAGGCAGGGAATAGTGATCACACACACACACACACACACACACATTCATTAGATATAATGTTGCTCAGCTGACACTTAGATGTTAGCTTTTTTTTTTAATATATAGATTCTGTTTTCTGGCTACATATTTATTTATTTCATATTTCTATCCAAACACTATTTCACAGATGACTTTCACCTTTGAACGAGTGTTTGAACTGAACAGAGATTTCGCTCTAATCTTCAGCTACGTTCTGAACCTGCTTTAGCTCATTCTTACCCTCCAGGAAGGTTTCCATGGCAGCACTGTGGGTCATGTTGATCAGGCTTCGGCCGGAGTAGGAGGTGAGCGTGGGGTCAGCCCCAAATGCCAGCAAGATGCGCACCACCTCCAGGTGGTCATTTACCACTGCGTCATGCAGCGGTCTGACCAGGAGGGAAAGAACAGAATGACGTCCTGTGTTTTATCTAACACTGATTCTCTCATATGCAGATGATACACATGTTTACATGTACAAAAAGTGAACAGTAATCATTAGCATAACAGTGCCCACCTTGTTCCATCCTGAGCGCTGCAGTTGACATTGGCCCCGTGCTCTATCAGGTGGCATACGATGTCCAGCCAGCCGCGTGCACAGGCCTCGTGCAAGGCACAGTAGCCAGCGTTGTCCTGATGGTTAACGTCACAGGTTCTACTCTCTAAACAGTACAGCACCACTTCCTGTGACACCAGAAGCAACCTTTAAGTTATTTTCCCAATGGGGAAACCCATTAAAGCTTCGGGAGAGTTAAAGAATCTGTTCTGTTCAGTCCAAAAAAAAAAGACTCAGGAATCAACAAAAATCCTTGACGTTTTCTAAATTAGTAGCCAAAACTGACCAAACAAGATAAAAAAAAAAGGGAAAATATAACAAAAATAACTAAAAATACAAGCCTCTCCTGTGTAGTTTTAACCTGGTTAAGTCAAATTGATGGTTAAGTTGCTAATTTATTAAAATTATAAACCTAAAATGCTCAAGAATATACAAAAGTGAATGAGTGAATTTGACCTGGACCTGGACCTGACCTCACCCGTAGAGCACATGGTGATTTGAGTGCATTTACCTCATATCCCAGACGGGCGGCTCGCTGCAACAGTGTCTCTCCTGCATTTTTATTCACAATGAGTCGTCTGACCTCTGGAGGGACAGGTCGATGTGAGACAGGGCAGGACCGCGGCAAGAACGATGGATCAGGTGGAGACAGCTGTAAGGATGGACAGGTGTCAGTGTGGACAGGTGTCAAATGATTCATTTTTCTTAGTGAACTAGCATGGTTTTGTTTAAGAATGGATGGAGACTTTTGCTTTAAGACTGCAGGGTCATGTTTAGATATTTACAAACTAAATTTTTTTTTTATTAGGAAAAAAAAATTCTCTATTTTTCTGTAGACAAAAAAAGAGATATTTTGGTCGTGTTTTACTGTCGGAGAGCCAAAAGAGAGAAATTTTGATTTAAAAAAAATAGAGCTTGAAGTTAGGGGAAATTGTGTGGATGCCAACAACAGACCAACAACAGACCAACAACGGACCAACAACAGGCCAACATCTAGTGTACCAACAACAGATATCATGCCAAATGCTTTTTAAAAAAAAAGTTTATGGCATCACACCAACAACCACCTGGACAATCACACCAAAAAGGTACAAAAATATAACGCAGAATATAATTCAACCTGAAATCATGAGCACATGATTCAACAGTAACACACTTGTTCACACTGCCATGACAACAGCACATAAACAACAGGTCAACGTCAGCTCCATGGTTCTCTAAAAACACGACACCATGACGACGACGTCATACTAACAGGCAACAGAAAGACACCACAAAAAGACAGGACGGTGACAAGTTATGTCACAACAACGATAGAACAAAAAACAACTCACTGCTAAGAATCTGAAAACTGTCTGGAAGATCAACACTGGAGTGTGTGTTGGTGCAAAAACCTGTGTTTGTTTGAGTGAAACGGACTTGAAGAACGAGGAGGAGGACTGAGAGAGGGAGACAGACTGTGTGTGTGTGTGTGTGTGTGTGTGTGTGTTTCTCTGCAGTGCCCTGGAGGTATCTGTGGTGCAGCAGCTGTTGAAACAGCACAGGCCTCAGTGAAGTGCACATACACAAACTCTTACACCAGTGGACACACAAAACAGTCCTTTACACACTTTCTTACAGACAATTGCATGAACACACAATTACCAACACACACACAGACACACAGACACACAGACAAAATGCACTTACACACACAGTCTCCCTCCCTCCCTCTTAAACCTCTTTCTTCAAGTCTGGTGCACTCAAACAAACCGCACACACACACCCACACACAGTCCTGCATTAAGCTCCTCACTCTTATCTAGATAATTATGTGAATTTACAGAAAGAAAAGAAAACAAAAGGAAACAAAGAGAAAGTTGTCTAGTCTTTGGTCTCATCTCTGCTACCTCCAGAACATCAACACATTTCTTGGTTCTTGTGGCATAAGAATCAGTCTATATTTCTTCTCAAATGACTCACAGTCTGATTTTAACCTTAAGGAGTCACCTTTGACTTTTAGTTGGACTTTTTGATCAAATAAAAATTGGAGTCATCGTCCATTCTCAAGACCAGGGACCAGGGTTTGATGCAGCCAAGATAACCTGTTCATTGATTCTCATCAACTGACTGGTTCATTCAACTGTGAACCTTTAGGTGCATTAGTAAATATATAAATAAAGTAGCCAACATATTTTTTGGACATCTGTTATTTTACAACTTAGTTAATTTATTTGACCAGTGTCTGATTTATTCATACAATCTGAGATGTTCATATGTGGAATTACACATACAAAAAAACCAAAAATATCTCACTAACGTTCTTCCTAGAGGCACTTTGAGGAGAAGGGAATAACACATGATGTGAACACTGGACACTTTTCATTAAGAATTATTAGCCGTTAGATGAACTTGAACCTCATCCTCAGTGACTTGGACTCAGTCCTGGTCTGAATCAGTTTTCCTTGTTTATCAGACTTGAACTATGAGTAAAAGTGAATCCAACTCACTCTCTTTTCTATATTTCCTTCCTGATCTTGCTCCTCCTCTTCTTCCTTCTCCTCTCTGGCTGAAGCTCCTTCTGCATGTTTCATCTTGTAGGGTCGTTTGCCTCTCGGTTTGGTGCCACCTTCGCTGTACGTGGTGGAGGTCAAATCCATTTGGCTGGAGGAGGGGACTGAAGGAAGGAGTGGCGGTGAACGGACGAAGCCTGAATCACTTCGATTATCCCTCTGCTCTTCGTGTCGATCCTGGAGGCAGGGTGTGGAGACCATGGACGTGGAGACTGGAGTCCTGGGGTAGGGGTTACCCAGAAATCGGGGCAGATTCCTGTGATATGTGGATGGAGCTGGGTTTGAATCTGGATTAAAAACAAACAAAACAAAGGAATTGTCAGTTTATCATTGACATTTTGTTTCTCTTGCTTTTTTAGTGGATGCCAATTTTATTTTTTAAATAAAGGTAAAGTTATTTCCTTAATGTATTTGGGGGAGTTTGGAGATTTACATGGACTAGGAAGGAAATTAAATAGTGGTTCCTGTAGAGAACCGGCCCACAATGGTCCTGTTCCTTAGAATTGGTTGTGTGCTTAGTTAACAATTCTGCGTACTGATTTGACAGATGCATTCACTTGATGACGCATTTCCTGGATTACATCGTGTGCGTGCCTCATAATTAGGTTCAGAGTGTTTACAACACGGGGCTGAAGCAGAAGCTGTCTGTAGTTAGGCTGCATTCACAGACAGAGTGGCCTTGGCAAGACACGCAGAGCTCAGCCAACAACAGAGTGGGTAAAGAGCGTGGACACAGACAGAGGCTCTTCTATGCTGGTGACTCTCAGTGTAGAACTGACCACAACAACTGAGGCAGCATCAAAATCATCCAGGTCAGGTCCTGTCAATGTTAGCACCAGTCATCAATCTGCATTTTAAAAAAGTGATGAGTAATGTCAATTTCCTAAAATGACATTTACATTCCTCTTAACACAACGTCAGCCAAATCCACTGGTGTTTGAGTTTTTACTGCTTTCCAACACAGACTGATACAGACACAGGCTAATTTATCCAGTGGAACTAACTTCAGGTCTGGATTCTTCTGGTTCCTCTCACTCACTTTTGTATTCAAAATTGTGTATTTGCAAAAAGTTAATAACTAATGGTGTATTTTAAGTTCATTTCTGCAGATGACTTACTTTTGAGCAGCTTTGATTGTGTCCCAATCAAACGTCAAATGATAATGTACACGTTCTAGAGTTAATGCAAACGAACCTATGAAGGTCAAGTCAGGGGACAACCGTTCACAGCTTTGGTCCAATTACACAAATACACTGTGAGAGGACACCAGAGTCCCCAGAGAAAAAACATTAAGATGGGGAGAGGGTGAGAGAGGAAGAGAGAGAGAGAGGGAGAGAGAGAGGGGAACAAAGGAACAACTTCCTCCCGTGATTGGAGCTGTGAGTGAGCGGACGAAAGAGGTAACAAATGATGGGGGATGGAAAGAGAGTGAGAGTTTTCTGCTTTCAATCGCAGACGCCTGCAGGAAACAACACACAAACACACACACACACACACACACACACACCCCAAGATGCATGTAAACACAAACACGCCGACAAACTGCAGCCACAATGATGCTGCCTCCACCTGCTGAATTATTCATCAGCCTACACACACACACACACACACGCACACACACACACCGATGTTTCTTTTATAACTAAACAGTATTGTTCTAAGAACAGAATACAAAGACACAGCAAATACACTGTATGTGTGAAGGGATGGGTGACATGGTCCAAGATTTCTCTTGTAAATCTGTTTATACAATATATATTTATACGTATATTTTCCCCCTATGAAAAAGTAACAAAACAGTAGAGCCACATATTCAAATGAGCACAAGTTAAATGTTAAATAAGCGTGTATTAATAGAAAATACATATTTTCTTTAAAACATACTTATATAAAACAGTAAACAAGTGCTGTGGTTAATGAATATATTTGGACCAAGTAATTCATACTGTAACACCATCTACATCATTAAAGTGAACTTAATTAATTAATAATTTCATGATAATAGTTGTTAATGACATGTTTTGTACCAAAATGTCTTCAGTACGTGTGTATTTATCCTGGATGTCCTGTCCTGTATGGTTTGGTGTGACTAAACGTACAATTACACCTCATTTATAACATTGGTAACTAGGGATGTCTGATAATAACTTTTTGCCCATAAACCAACCCAAACTGTTATATGCTGTTGTTTGAAGTGTGAGTCACATTGACAATAATTCACTTTCATTTTCAAACTATTTTGAGGTCACATCATCTGGGCAAAACCTGGCCATTGGGTTATCAGGTTTTCACGACCAAAAAACCCATAACAATAATTGCCGATATCATATAATTATGCTAATATTGGACGATAATATTAACATCCTTATTTATAACATAACATTTATAACATAACATTTACAACATAACATTTATAACGCTTCATAACATGTACAAAATGCATTTTATATTTATAATATGTATTCTTTGTATTTTTAATTTTTTTCCTGTTTACTGAGTACCGAGAATCAAGGACAACTTGAGGAGAAAATACGGAGACAGTGAACGCAGCATGGAGCGGCGTTCAATAAATACATTAAAAGCAGTGTCAAGGAGTTCACACACACGCACACGTCGCTGATGTTATTCCATTCATGTGCTTCAGCAATGGTAGCAAAGGTAGAAAAGAGAGGAGAACCAGGATAAAAGAAGAAATGACACCCGGAAAAAAAAAATGGGAGGGAGAGAAAGATAGAAAGATTGTTTTTTATCATTATTATCATGGATAAATGATTTGCAGGCTTAAATGATACCAATGATAGAAACAATAACATCAACAACAAAAAAGTCCAGTGACTTAGCAGTGACTTACAGTAACACAGTTTGACTGGTAGAGACACTGTTATCCAACAATGACTCAGCAACAAGACAGCGACTCAGCAGTAGCTCAGCCCTGCCTTCATGGTGACTGGGAGGGGGTGGGGTGGGGGTCACTCAATGGTCACTTCACAGTGACCCAAAAAACAGTGCAGCTACAGTTGTGGTGCTGCTGCTTGTGAAAAAGTATTCTGTTTAAGTGTTGTTGAGACTGGTGTTGGTCATGTTGTAACTGAAACCACTGAAATCACATGTCATTTTGTTCACATGGTAAGGGTATTTGTCTTTACCTCTGGGTCTGTCTCTGATTCCAAACCCTCTGCTGACCTCTGACCTTCCTCTCACAGGCAGTATGTCTGTCGCTGACTCTGCCAACCTCTCTCTGGAAGGTTGTTGCGACCGGACGATGTCTTCGGGCAGCAGAGGCCTGCTGAGTCGGAGGCCACTCAGTTCAATGCAGACCTTCAGCTTCTTCACGTCACCTGGAGTGGAGGCTGTAAAGAAGAGCAGTGATTGGTCGGGAAGTGTCACAGGGTGCACATTCAAACTGACAGATTATCCAGTTTTGTCTGAACTTAAAAAATGGAGCCGTCATATCAGCAGGTAGATGTATATGTTTTTATTTGCGACTAACCCAGAAGATGGAATTATTAATATGGAATATGTCAAGAACTTTGTGGCTTGAAGAATGAGTTGATTCTTGCTTTCAAATCTTTGTTGAACTCCTCGTCCTTTAATAATATTAATCAGTCTACAGTCTCTCACAATTCTGGCTGTGTTAAAAAATGTTATTTCATAATCTTCACAAGTTAATTACTGAGATGAATGACTTGAATTCAAAAGTTCAAAAAGAAAAAACAATTTAAGAGTTTTGAATTTTGAGGTTGCTTTTTTTTAATTGTTCAGCCCTTATTATTTTGGAAGTAAATTAAAATAAATTAAATGAAAAGTGAATTCAATCATTTACAACATAATTCAAACGACATACCATTAACAGCCCTGATTTTCTCAGAGGTAGTTTCCGGACGGTCCTTGGTTGGCTCTTCCCCCCGGGGTCTTTTGCCCCTCCCATTTAAAATGCTGCTTTTGTGAAACGGTTCCAGACTGAAGATTTCTCGACAGTTCACTGATGTCGGGCAGGGACTGGACCGACTGGAAGTCGGTAATGTAACACCACACTTTTCCTTGAAAAGGTTTCCAATGGAGCGAGGAAACTTCTGCTGCTGCTGCTGCTGGAGACGATGCTGTTGTTTTTTCTTTTCATCCTCCACCGTCTTCAAAGCTCCTTCTTCTCCACTTTCTTCCACCTTGTTCATCCCCACAAAATCTCCATTAGTTAGGCAGGGATCGACTGGATCAGGGAGAAAGCTGATGGTGTTGGTAGGTTGGGAACCTGAAAAACCAAAACACAGGATATCACTGTCATAAAACCATTTCTGTAATGCTAGCTGCCCTACACTTTGACAGAAATAAACGTCAAATGATGAGGTGTATAGATTATTTACAGATACCTTTTCTTTTCTTCCTTTTCCTCAGTTGTAGTCACATTTTTTCTTAATTTTTTTTTTGATGGATTCTCTTTGTGTTTGGCAAGTATTTAGCTTTGGGCTTTATTTTAGATTCATTTCTTGTTTCATTTTGTTCTAATATTTTCTCTGTTCATGACTAACCTAATTTTTGCTTTATATTTCTTTAACTGCTTTAATTTAAGGCCTTTTCTTTTAGCTTTTATTGTTGGCCAGATTGTGTCGATGTTTTGCTAACCCTAGGCAAAAACTTTTCATTTCCATATTTTCACTGGCTTTTAAAATGTTTTAGAAATTTAACTATATCTCGACTAACTTTTAATTAGTGTATGTATATCTCTTCCTATTTTTTTTTAATCAGTAGGGTTCTTTAAATTATAGTTATATACTATTTTTGGGTAAAATATTTCTTATTTTTACAACCAGGTTTCAGCAACCTCCTGGATTCCTCTCACCTCCCTGAGTCTCTGCAGCAGAGGTACTTTGTTCTCCTCCTCCTCCTTCGTGCCTTTTATCGTCACTCAGTTGGCAGTGGTCCCGCTCTCCTTCTCCTCCTCTTTCCTCCTCCTCTTCCTCCCTCTGGCTGTCTACCAACTGCTTCTCCTCTGCTGCTTCTGTTATCCCTCCTCCATTTCCTTCTCTTTCCTTCAGCTCCAGCTCAGAGAAATCCAACAATTTATTCTGTTAAAATGATAATAAAAAAGACACAAACAGAAAATTTCAAATAAACAAGATTTTTGTTTTGTGAGCACATTTGTTTAAGTTGATATTTTAAATAAAAACCTCAGTTTTAGCTCAACCAGCATTAAGAAGAGGACATGTTAGTTAGTAACAGACTGTGAATAGTAATAAAACACAACCACAGTTTTCTTTCTTACTCCACCAATGGTAATAAGTTCCCCTCATAGATTTAAAAAGTTAGTTTTTAATAATGAAACCCTACGTCTGTTCATTCGCATTCAATCCCTACGTTTTCAAGAAAAAATGATCACATATTGAGAAATTGAAAAAAAAAAATCAAGATGAGTAAAGTAGTGCAGATGGTGAAGAGGGAGTGTTGTTTTTCCATTTTTAATCATATTTATATTTTCACTGGTGAACGCGATTTATAAGCTGAGAGCATCACAGTAACCACTGGTACCTGACTAGTTGATACCCAGCTCTATTAAACCATCTTCAAACTGCACTGACCACAAACCTATTTAAAAGATTAATGGTCCATGAAATGATCTACAAATCCATCCGATGCAGCCACCGCTGCTGCTGAATCAAGGCTGTACATGAGTGAATCTCAGTGGTTGGAGCCACCGTTGAGCCACCGTATACACCGCAAAATGTCTCGAGCAATGGGAAGTGGAGCTGGAGAAGTTAAAAAATAAACAAGAAAATAGTCTGCTTGGTTGTTGTGCCTTTTACCATCAACATGTGGTCCACACAGGTCTAAATCTAGCACACTAATTTACTACTGTGTTTTAGGTATGTGCAGCCCATGTGGCCTCTGGGAATTTTGTGTTTCTTTTTTCACAAATCATTGATTAATGATTCAAAGGGTCTTACCGGAAGTGCTTTACGCTCTCCAATCAGCTGATTAGAGTCTTCTTCTAGTTCTGAGGACACTGATTTTAGTTTGTCAGCCGTATCTCCAGAGTCAGTGACCACGTGTTTGTTAAGGCCAGACTGGAGCGCCCTATTATTGCCAAGTTCTTCTGCTTCGTCCATGCAGCATGAGATGTCTTCTTTTGCATGTCCAGAGTTGGACGAGGTAGGAACTAAGTGGTCACTCTTGTTTGATGTATTATCCTTGGTGGTAATTGATAGCTCTACTTTTAGATTTGTCGGTTTCCCATTAAATCCTTCTTGGCCTGGACCACTGGGAGCCAAGTGTTGACAGTTCGGGCTCTGTGGAAAATTGTTTTTACACATGGTAACGCTAGGATTGTCTTTGACAGATATCTGGTTGTTTTTAGTAGAGTGAGTCTCACCGTCCATTGTAGCACAAACTGAATCACTTAAATCACACACAGGAACTCCAGGACTGGTCTTTTCATTTTGGTTTTCACAGTTGGTTAGTCTAGGATTGTTTTGGGCCACATTAGTTGGGTCACTGAGAATTTTTGATTCACAAGATGGAGACCTCACAGACTGACTTTGGCTAAAAGGTTCTACAAAATTCCTGTTGAGAAAATGTTGACAGTTTTCTTGGCGAGTGTCACAGACAGATGTTTTTAGGATGCCAACACAGAGTGGAGCCCTCATGAATGAAGCCATGGGTTTAGAACCGTCAGAAGATGGGACTTGGGGTCTTAAAGTTCTACTTGTCATGTCCATACTGGTGTAAACCGGATCATCTGAACCAACGGTGGTAGCACACGGTGGACTTTTGTATCTGGTGACTGTAGACATCGATTCCACAACATTGTTTAAACCAGAAAACGTTTCCGTGTTGACAGGAAGCAGCAGCTGTCCATTAGTTGCAGGGCTCTCCTTATTGTCATCACTTTTTATGACCAAACCTTTTGACTGGGATGCATTATTTACTCTTTTTTCACCAAAAATACTGCTTTTGCTATGTGTTTCCAATCCTTCGAAGACCACAGACTCAATACAGGATTCAGCTTTTCGTTTTCTAGCAAACTGTTGCAGACAGGTTCGGGCACAGCCCGTGTTCTGCTCTTCTGGAATGTCCAATGCTGAACTAAGTGGAGTCTCCTCTCCTTCGATCTTCTCTGGGATTTTATCTGTAAACGGAGAGTATAAGGCAGAGTTGTGATAAGGAGATTTAACTTGAGAAGTCAGGAGTCCTGATCCTTGCTTCTGTTCAGACTGACTTGGAGGAGGAATTTTTGGTGGATTTGGCAATATTTCTCCAGTTTTGTCAAGAAATAATTCTTCAGTCTCATCTCCCACCATGTCAGTACAGACTGTTTCATCTCTTGGGCCACTGACACATTTCCTAGAAGTCTTTAGGGATTCCTTCCTGGAGCCGACTTCATCTTCCAGCTTTTCCTGGTTCCTGTCTTTGGTGTTAAGGTCTGGGTAGATTGACGTAGGGTTTGAGTTTAATTCCTGGGATTTTGGACAGGGAGCTATAGCATGTTTAAAGCCGTGGTCTGGTGATACATGTGGTGGATAGAAGTGACTGCCACCAAGAAATGCCTGATGAAGATAGACAGGTCCTTTACTTGGACTGGACATGCCTTGCAGAGACTTATTCTCTGCAACTGAATATGGGACACAGCTCAAAGTGGTAGGAGGATAGGAATCACAAAATACTTGTCTGGAATGATTTTCTAATTGTGATAACTGCTGTTGTAAATGAGTTTGGTTCTCTGACATTTCTAGCTTGGCAAAATGTTTGCCAGAGGTGGAGGGATGTTTTTTGGAATTTACAGGACCTTCATCCAAATCAGTGTGATGGACTAGAGAACATTCAGCTTTAGACTTTGTGGAAGGTAACATTGCAGAAGGTCTTCTTCCAGAAGTAGGACTGAGGTGGTTAATCTGAACTGTAGATTTAGGTGTTTGATGAGAAACATGGTCGACACCCTTGTTTTTGTTCTCTTGCAATTTGTTGCTGTTGCCTAAACAGACCTTTGAAGAAGGACTTGGAACAACCCAAGAAGAGGGCAGAGGACTGATTGTTTCAAAACAATTTTGGGAACGTAATGGTGCATTTTCATGTGGGCTTAGTCCTTTTTGTAAGCGCAGATCCTGACTTACCAGAGGCTCATATTGAGATGTTGGCAAATAGTCCATTTTGGTCAAGGCTTTCATTTTGGAGGAGGAATCACTTGAACGTCTTTCCAACTCTTTAGAAGACAGATCCACAGGTTTTTCTTCATGGGTTTTGTTCTGTTTGTGAAGTGTCACTCTGTGCTGTAATGTCTGTTTCTCTGAACTACACAAATCAGAGTCGGGATCTTTGGTCTTTGTACTGCATGTGAGGTCTTCACTGGTCATGTAAGATGGCTGAAAGACTGAAAGTGATTGGTTTCTGTAAACAGACGTATGAAGGTTATTAGTGGGGTTGTTGATGGATAGAGCTGGAGAGCCCGGAGGATGGGAAACAGAAGATGACTCTGTGGATGATGTTGCGGTGGAACAATTTACAGGAACACTGGTGCATCTAGAACTGCCGGTACTGCTCTTGAAGGAAGAGGGTTGATTTTGGCTACTGTTGCCATGTTGTTGCTCTTTGAAGAGTGACTGGGACTCCTGGTGGATTTTGAGACTAGTACTGAAGGCAGAAGGTTCTTGTTGTACGTGAGTGCCGACCCCTCCCAAAATATCACTCTGATTGTGAGGAAGAGGTGAAAGGACAACGGGAGCTTCGGTTGCCGTAGAGATCCTGATAGGAGGACCTAGCAGGGAGGAAATATGGGGCACAGGATAATAGGGCAGGTAAAACATTATGTCTTCTCTCGGTGTGTTGCCTCCTGGCCCTGAAGGACATAAAGTCTGGTATGCCAGCTGCTGTTGGAGGAAAGCTGAGGGCTGGGTAAAAAAAGATGCATTGTATGCCATGTCCAGGAAGGGGTACATTGCTGAATCAGCATATTGACTGATCCACGGCAATCTCGGGAAACTCCCAGCAATATTCAGACCACGTTTTAACTGTTTATCACCACGTGGAATTGGTTGGTCCATTAAGTAATTATTACCTCCTGTGACAGGTACAACTAGGGGTTTCTGCAGTCCTGGTGATGAGTTTTTATATAATCCAACAAACCCACCAGGAGGCTTCTGACTATCCAGCAAATTTACATCAGATTTGTACAGAAGATCATAGCCAGGTGGGTGAGACGTGCAAGGTGTCTGGGCCTTTTCACCAGAGAGAGGATGGATACCATGATAGAAAGTCCCTCCATGATGGTGGAGGTTTTCTGCCAGTGCAGTCTGGTCAATGCTGAGTGCAGCTAGAGGGTTCATCTTATAAGCTGTACTAGCATCCACCTGCAAAAAAAGACAGTCCAAGTAAGAGACTATAAAAATAATAAATTACTTAAAACAAGACCTCACTCAAAGAACCTTATTCTAAATTATCTACACAGTTTAGCACCCAATAAAAAAACAATACGTTTGTCAAAGAGGTCCCAATCCTGCTAAGAAATGGTACCTTGCAAAGTTTTCTTCCCCAAGACGTCCGTCTGCATAGGTCTTCTTCTTATCTTCAACCAACCAGGGAGGTGTACAGCTGGAGTCCTGATTAGAGCATACAGCACCTCCACTGGATCCTCTCACACAGTCATACCAAGGTTTACAGTACATGGGTTGTCCAGCACTTGTTCACCTGTCTCTTAGACTGACCCCAGACGCCCTGCAAAAAAAGAAAAAACATCAGTTGAAGAGTCATGACCTCCACAGAGTTTTGATGTAAGTAACTGGACTTCTTGTTTGAGTTTGAAAGACTTTTCGTTCCTCAACTGAGGATCTTCATCAGTCTCTGGTTGAACCCTAGTAGTTATACTTCTTTAGACCTCTCCCTTCTCCACCTGACAAAGGAGTCACAAGTCAAGGAGTCACGGCTCCTTAGAGACAGGTGACTACCTCTGATGGTGATGAGCACAAGAATCTGTGAGATAAAATCATACACATATTTCTTTGGTGTGAGAGAGAAATGTTTAAAAATATAATAATGTCCAAGTTCTTTACAGTAGAGCGATTGAGTTATATTTATTAATATTAGGCCTGATAAAAAATAAAAAGAGATTCTATTTTTTCTGTTGTTGTTTTTATTTTACATCGTTTAACATTTAAAATGCTTGATCTCCTGTGTGTGTGTGTGTGTGTGTCAGTACTAATTGGTTTTTTTTTTCTCCCTGCTGGATTATTAGTTCCTTGGGAAACGTGCTTTATCTGTTCTTCAGCACACACACACAAACACACAGAGAGAGAGAGAGAGAGAGAGTAATTGATGGCTGTTAGGGAGCTGAGATTTCAATAACGACTCTTATCTCCAGAGTACTGAAGGACAGCTGTGTGGGTGTGTGTGTGTGTGTGTGTGTGTGAGGGCAGTTTGATAGATGGACAGGAGACGTTAGCGCGTGCACACACACACCGAGACAAAACGCACACACACACACTTGTTAGGGAGCTGAGATTTCAATAACGACTCTTATCTCCAGAGTACTGAAGGACAGCTGTGTGGGTGTGTGTGTGTGTGTGTGTGAGGGCAGTTTGATAGATGGACAGGAGACGTTAGCGCGTGCACACACACACCGAGACAAAACGCACACACACACACTGACTCCTTTTGCTGCAATTTTGTAAACTGGATTTCTGCCAGACAAATCCTTCTGACGTTTGATAAATTTATTTTTATAGAGAATTTATTTGTATTTATTTAATTAACCAAAACACATTGGTGGAAGTCCAACTGAAGAAGTCTGAAGGTCCATATTCAGCACCCCAGAGGTGTACGCTATATTGGATAACCATTAGCGTTTTCGCTACAATTTAAATTAAGTTATTATGATTTGGCAAAAAAATAAATTAATAAAATAAACGGACTGAAACAAAAAAACAACTACAGAGACAGAAAGAGCGACAACGAAAGCAATGACACCTGCGAGAAAACGGCTACAAAGAGGCGATTGTTTTATTGTTGACTTTGAATAATTTGTTCACGATTTTATAGTGTGCCGAAAAATTAACGATTTTACGCTCAATGCTGTTTCGCAAAAGCCAAAAGTTCTTTGTTTGTTTGTCTCAATTAGTTGACACTCACCTTCGACACCACCTGTCACTTTTCCTAACGCTTCCGTCCTCGCGCCACTCAACACGTCCATCTTCGCCGGTTTGTTGACGCACACACAGGCAAAAACAATACAACTGTTGGAGAATTGTTAATTTAAGAGAAAACACACGGTGACGGTAGATAAACTCGTGAATGTGCGCACGAGCGTTTGAAAAAATATCTACATCTACAAAAAATAAAACATACAAAACTGAAAATCCACAGGCGGGAATATTCCTCAATATCCTTGTGTCACGCACAGCTCCGCCGTACTTTTTTTCTCAACATTATTACAGACGACGTCGGCGCATGTGCTTTTATATCGTCTCCTTTCTCTCTCTCTCTCTCTTTTCATAAAGCTAAAACACGGCAGAGTATTTCCGGTCCTGGATTTACAAAATTAAAGCAGTTCAAACGCGTATATATTATGTATAAAAGTTAAAGAGTTAAAGTATACATTGTTTGACTTTTCGTGCCTAACATTTCAGCGACACCTGGTGGATGTGATTGGCACTGTGGCTTTAATTGCACTGCTTTTTCCTCTCAAAATGATTTTAATAGGGTTTAATATACAAGGATTAATATTTGTTTTGTTCAGCAATATGACATTTTTATTAAATAAAGACAATAATATAGCATGAATAGAGATAAAAAGGAAATATAAATACAAATGTAATTAATAAAGAAATTAAAAAGAATTAAAATAAAACACTAAAGGAGCAAAAAAAAAACAACAACCAACAACCAAGGTTTAAGAATGTGAACTTCATCCTCTGGTTTACAGTTACAAAGATGTGTTTAAGGACAATGACACGTCACTCTGTAGTTACAATCAGATCAGTCTCAATAAATAGTTAATATAAAATAAAATGGTTCCATATAAAAATACACATACAGTACATATGACACACACATATAAAAACAAAAGCCTTAAATAAGTTTTACAAAGGAGCAGGAGCCGAAGGTGGACATAGGGACACCGAAGAACCAGTCCACCACACAGCGAACCCTGGGTACAGAGGTTCGGTGAAGGTGGTCTTAAAAGTGTAGAGGTGAACCCATTGTTGTAAGGACACCCTGTAGAAGGACAATGTCCCCCCTGGTTGGTCTACGTAAACTGCCACTCTGTGGGAGACACAGTCTGAGGAGATGGAGGTGTGTCTGTTGTTGTGGTAGATGTAGTAGTGGCCCTCAGAGCACCTCAGGCTCCATGACTGCTGGTTCCACCCAAACTCACACTCGTCTCCATCCCCTCTTCGTCTCACTCCTTTGTAACTAATAGAGACGTACACCTTCCCTTGCCACTCTACCTCCCAGTAACACCGACCAACAACAGCCTCCTTACACAGCAGCTGAGGCCAGTGGTCGAAGCGGTCCTCGTGGTCGGGGTACGGCTGCTCCTCCTCCACACGGGTTGCAGTCCTGCTGTCGTCTGACAGTAGGATCTTTGGGTAAACCGTGTTGACGTCAATGGTGAGTGCACAGGAATCTAACGAAAGCAGAACACGAGTTATTCAGCTTTCATGTGATCACACAGAGATGACATCATAAAAAAGAGAAATGCTTACACTTCCTGAAACCAGGAGTCATCCACGGAAGACCTCCAGGCTCCACCCTGAAGAAGAAGAGAAGCTGAGTCAAAGATTGTGGAGCTGCTACTTCCAGTCATTAGACTGATGGAGTTTATACCTCCATCTGTCAATGTACCTAGTCCATACCTGGGTCTGGGTTTGGGCCCCTACCTGCACCCAAGCCTTGAACCCCACCAGACATCAGTGCCCCAAGGTCTGAACCTAAATCCATCCTTCTGTATTAGAATAACTCTATGCAAAGTACCTCAGAGTGTCAAGTCGGCACTGGGGGTCCCTCAGTTTGGTGGACAGCATCTTCACTCCTGATTCTTCTAGATAGTTGTAGCACAGATCCAGGTTCCTCAGCTGAGTCATTTCAGAGTTCAGAACTGAGACCAGAGAGATGCAGCTATCTTTAGTTAGAAGACAACCTGAAAGTCTGCAAAAACAACAGCAAACACATTCATATACAGTAGAATACTGAAACCATGAGTGACTGAGCGTATCTGATGAGTCCCTCAAACCTCAAAGTCCTCAGTTTGCAGTTGGAACTCTTGAGTCCTTCACAAAGCAGCTCAACCCCTGAGTCCTGCAGGTCATTGTTGCTCAGGTCCAGTTCTTTTAGAGTGCAGGACTTGGAGCTGAGAACCGAGGACAGAGCCTCACAGCTTTCCCTGGTCAGGTTGCAGCCACTCAGACTGGAGAAACAGAAAAAACATAATGTCTTCAGTGTCAATGAAATGCAAGTCTCTACTAGAGGGAGGACATGAGTCTGGCTCTCAGACCTCAGTGTAGACTCTAATTTATCTAAATCTTCAGAAGTCAGAAATAATCCTAATTTAAAGTCCAATTGATACTGACTTAAAAAATGTGAAGAATGTGAAGAACCCAACTCTTACTCTGTTATCAAGTAGAAAACCCTAAAATACATACTCTGCAGACTTGGAGTTCTTGGCCACCGGCAGCAGCTTCAGAAAAGCCTCCTCAGAGGCAGAGTACTTCTTCAGGTCGAACACATCAATGTCCTTCTCTGATGATAGTAAAATGAAGACAAGAGCTGAAAGCTGAGCTGGAGACACATGGTCAGTGGACAAACGTCCTGACGCCATGTACTTCTGTATCTCCTCCACCAGAGAAGAGTGGTTCAGTTCATTCAGACAGTGGAAGAGGTTGATGGTTCTTTCTGTGGTCTGGTCCTCACTGATCCTTTCCTGAAGGTAATCAACTGTGTCCTGACAGTTCTTTGAATCGATCTTTGTACGTTTCAACAGTCCATGTAGCAGATTCTGATTGGTCTCCAGTGAAAGGCCCAGGAGGAAGCGGAGAAACAAGTCCAGGTGTCCATTTGGACTCATTAAGGCCTGGTCCACAGCACTCTGGTGCAGATGTTTCAGGTCAGGTATGTCTCCGGAAGCCATTGACCTCTTAACTTGTGATGGTCCTTCTGACATAAGATTGACTCCAGAGGTGATGAAGGTCAGATGGACATAGAGAGCAGCCAGAAACTCCTGAACACTCAGATGGACAAAGCAGAAGACAGTGTCCCGGTACAGTCCTTTCTCCTCTTTGAAGACCTCTGTGAAGACTCCTGAGAACCAGGAAGCCTCTCTGACATCGATACCACACTCTGTCAGATCGGACTCATAGAAGATCAGGTTTCCTTTCTGCAGCTGCTCAAAAGCCAGTTTCCCTAGAGATTCGGTCATGGTCCTGTTCTCTGGAGTCCAGTGTGGATCTGTCTCAGCTCCTCCATCGTACTTCACCTTCTTCTGCTTAGACTGAACAACTAGGAAGTGGATGTACATCTCCGTCAGGGTCTTGGGCAACTCTCCCCCGTCTCTGCTCTTCAATGTGTTCTCCAGAACTGTGGCAGTGATCCAGCAAAAAACAGGGATGTGGCACATGATGTGGAGGCTCCGTGAGGTCTGGATGTGGGTGATGATCCTGTTGGCCTGCTCCTCATCTGTGAACCTCTTCCAAAAGTACTCCACCTTCTGTGGGTCGGTGAACCCTCTGACCTCTGTCACCACGTCCACACAGTTGGCAGGGATCTGGCTGGCCGCTGCAGGTCTTGTGGTGATCCAAAGACGGGCAGATGGAAGCAGGTTCCCCCTGATGAGGTTTATCAGCAGCACCTGCACTGAGGTGGACTTGGTGACATCAGTCAGAATCTCAGCGCTGTGGAAGTCCAGAGGGAGTCGACACTCGTCCAGTCCGTCAAAGATGAAGACCACCTGGAAGTCCTCAAACCTGCAGATTCCTGCTTCTCTGGTTTCAGTGAAGAAATGGTGGATCAGGTCCACTAAACTGAACTTTTTCTCCTTCAGTACATTTAGCTCCCTAAAGGTGAACGGAAAGGTAAACTCAATGTCTTGGTTGGTTTTGTCTTCAGCCCAGTCTAGGGTGAACTTCTGGGTCAGAACTGTTTTCCCAATACCAGCAACTCCCTTGGTCATCACAGTTCTGATTGGTGCTGCTCTTCCCGGCGGAGGACTGAAGATCTCCTCGTGCCTGACGGTTCTTTCTGGTCTGTCTCGTTTCCTTGAAGCTATTTCAATTTGTCGGATCTCGTGTTCCTTGTTCACCTCCTCTGTCCCGCCCTCAGCAATATAAAGTTCAGTAAAGATCTTATTCAAAGGGGTGGGGCTTCCTGCTTTAGCCACACCCTCAAATAACCAGTGAAACTTCCTTCTGAGGTTGGACTTGAACGTAGGCTGGCACATGGCAGGAGATCCTGGAAGAGAAACCAAAGCAAGAGTGACTTCTGAAACCTAGAGGTGATCAGAATTTGATGTTTGAAAGTGATGGATCTGGGTGTGATCTTACTGTTCTGCAGACGCTCAGCAAGCTTCTCCTCTTTCATGGTCCTCAGGAAGTCTAAGACAATCTTGAGGAAAGCGTCTCGACTCATCCTCCTTCTCTGCTCCTCTTCCAAGCTGCCCAGAACTCCCTCCTGCTCTATCGCCCTCTGATTACCACAGTATTCTGGGTAATCCAGAAACAGAGCATTCTGCATCCGTTTCAGTTCATTTTTGGCAAACATGCAGATATTCTGCTGAAGCACCTGCAACATATACGGTGTGGTCAGGACAATGACAGCTCCCTGCTGGTTATTGCATTTATTACCTATACTGACCGTGAAGACAGAGTCCAGGTCATTTGGAAGCTGCTGCTGCTGATGCTGCTGAGGCTGCTGCTGCTGCTGCTGCTGATGCTGCTGCTGTTCCTGGATCCTGCAGAAGAACTAGAAAATTCAGGTTTCAGATTCTTCACACTACACAAGGAAACCAAAGGTTTCCTTATATTTATACATACACACACACATATATACAGTGTATATATATAAGTGTTGGACATAACAACTAAAGACCTGAATTCAGAAGGACAGCTTCCATATTTAAAACTCAGTGGTTCAGCCTTCGACCTGTGACTCCTAACACAGCTATGTTCCTCAAATGGTTCTGGGTCTGGTACTTGATGTGGTTCCTGGTCTGAAAACCGAATGACTCTGAAAGAAAACCAAACAATTTAAAATGTTTACAAAGATTTTAGATATAAATATAATAAATGCATGATATATAAAAAATAAAAATAAAAAATACAATAAAGTGTAAAATAAGTTTACATCTTTATATTTATGTTAATCTATTATAAATATAAAATATAAGCATATATTGTATTTATAAAATATGAATGCTTCTTCATGTTACAATTTTTAAATGTATTGTGAATGTAAACTAATAAAGGTAAAAGTATAATAATAATAATAATAATAATAATCATGATAATAATAATAATGTACTTTTTGTTAAACAGAGGTTGATGTTTGAAGTTGATGACATCCTCCATGGAGCGGTCACATCTGAAGGAAACACAGCTGAGTTCAGGGTCAGCTTTGTCCGGTCTGTGTGTTTACAAACAAGCACACACATAAATACACACACATATACACACACACACACATAAATTGTAGTATTTACTGAGCATAAACTGAGGTCAGAGTTTGGAGAGAGTCTCTCACTTGTCCATCTCTTCATCCTTGCTGCGACTCATGATGCTTTTAATTCTGCACTGTGCTGGAAACATACGCCATCTGCCGGTTAAGACCAAATCAACATTAAATGCGTTTAATGTATAATGTTTTGTTACATAACGCAGCCTTTAGGAGTCTTCTGGGCTAGCTTCTAACTTTTGAGCTAATATGCATCCTTCTAATAATACTTTTAGGTAACTGGTTTTAGTTAACTGGTTAGTCTCGTGACTATGTCTTCCTCACTTTGTATAAATATTACAAAGAATTATTAATTTAGCAGCACTTTCATTCTTTTTACATTTACATTCTTTTAGCTCTGGATCTTTCTAGTGATTATTTAACGGGGATGATAGCCGATAAGCTAAAAAGTGATCTTACGCAGAAAACATGGAACCACGACACAAAACACAAGCGATGTCCATTTAACAATCGTGAAGACCCCTCTCTTGACTTTTAAAAATGTTTTGAAGTTAAAACCAAACAGACCCCACGCACTACTGCGGTCGTTCTTCCAGAATCCACCAGAGGGCGTCAGAACAACAGAGGTTCCATGATAAAAAACCCAATACACTGTACCGTCATCAATATTTTATATTTATAATACTTTATTTAAAAAAAATACATTTCAATAAAAGTTGATATCAGCAAAAACTTCACGATATATGTAGGTAAACTGTGGATAAAACTAATCAACCACTGATTTATTCTACGTCACAGACTGAACTAATAAATCATCAAAAACCCATAAATGACTCTCACAGAACCTGAATCGGCTTTAAACATATTTTTATGTTATTAACTTTGATGTAATTAAACGTCGTCTGAATTTATAAACAAAAATATAACACGTTGCATGTTACGTTTTCTTCAAAGTGAGTGCAAAGTGAAAGTGAAAATTTAAAGTAGAAACAACGGTTTTAAAAGTAAACAACGGAGTAAAAACGGGTCCAACTCACCGTTCAAAACGTTAAAAACGATGCAGCATTTACGCCTATGGCTTACTTCCGATAATAACATAGCTTGCTTTTACGAATGAGCAACATCTACTGACCAATCAGAAATCAGGACGCTGACACGTCAAACCGACCAAGTCAGCTGACTGCATTTATGCAACTTCCTTCCTAAAAAATTACTAAAAGTGAAACTGTTGTGATGAAATGAATGTTTGTCATTCCTCAGTTATAAACAGGACAAAACAAAGTGTGAGTGATGTAATAACAGGGGAAATTAGTCCTCTCCATTTTACTCATCCACAGAACTGGAACAGGGAAGTAAACCATTTCACCACAGCAGCCACTGACTGTCCGATGTGCAATCTTTAGTGATGAATGATTTATATACACAACTCCTCATGATTAAAATACAATGTAACATTAGTGTCTAAAGTCAAGCCATGCCACTTTAACGACCTCCTCTCAGAAAACTAAATCCTGTTACCAAATGTTATTTGTTTGTTTTTTGAATGACCAACATCGAGATGCTGAACATGTTTTGGGTTGACAAAAAAAATCCCTAGTTCACTTGCTGTACTTTTTACTTGCTGAACCTCATCTGGCTCATGTGTTTTAGCCATTTTAAACTGACCACAGATGCTAAATGTTTGTTTTAATGTTTAGAATAATCCAGACATTCTTGTAATCATTATTTTGGCCAGTCTTACGTTTCTAACTCTCCTCTCCTTTTTGTTTATTTTTTTTTTTAGATGAATCTGATTTGGAAGATTTGTTAAAGTTCAGCTGGTCTCTAGGAGTCGGACATTGGACCTCAGACCTGGACTATTATCGACCATTCATGTAAACACTCTGAGCGTTGGTCACATAGACAGT